AAATTGTCGTCTAAATGAGGCCGAAATGAAAATAACACTGGCATCTCATTTGAACAGATATACAGGGGCGAGGGATAAATTGTCGTCTAAATGAGGCCGAAATGAAAATAACACTGGCATCTCATTTGAACAGATATACAGGGGGAGGGATAAATTGTCGTCTAAATGAGGCCGAAATGAAAATAACACTGACATCTCATTTGAACAGATATACAGGGGCGAGGGATAAATTGTCGTCTAAATGAGGCCGAAATGAAAATAACACTGGCATCTCATTTGAACAGATATACAGGGGGCGAGGGATAAATTGTCGTCTAAATGAGGCCGAAATGAAAATAACACTGGCATCTCATTTGAACAGATATACAGATATAAATAAAATGAGGCCGAAATTGTCATTTGAACAGATAAATGAGGGGCCGAAAATGAGGCCGGAAAATGAAAAATAACACTGGCATCTCATTTGAACAGATATACAGGGGCGAGGATAAATTGTCGTCTAAATGAGGCCGAAATGAAAATAACACTGGCATCTCATTTGAACAGATATACAGGAGGCGAGGGGATAAATTGTCGTCTAAATGAGGCCGAAATGAAAATAACACTGGCATCTCATTTGAACAGATATACAGGGGGCGAGGGATAAATTGTCGTCTAAATGAGGCCGAAATGAAAATAACACTGGCATCTCATTTGAACAGATATACAGGGGGCGAGGGATAAATTGTCGTCTAAATGAGGCCGAAATGAAAATAACACTGGCATCTCATTTGAACAGATATACAGGGGGCGAGGGATAAATTGTCGTCTAAATGAGGCCGAAAATTGAAAATAACACTGGCATCTCATTTGAACAGATATACAGGGGGCGAGGGATAAATTGTCGTCTAAATGAGGCCGAAATGAAAATAACAACACTGGCATCTCATTTGAACAGATATACAGGGGCGAGGGATAAATTGTCGAAATGAGGGAAATGAAAATGTCTGTCTCAAACAGATATACAGGGGCGAGGATAAATTGTCGTCTAAATGAAATGAAATGAAAATAACACTGGCATCTCATTTGAACAGATATACAGGAGGCGAGGGATAAATTGTCGTCTAAAATGAGGCCGAAATGAAAATAACACTGGCATCTCATTTGAACAGATATACAGGGGCGAGGGATAAATTGTCGTCTAAATGAGGCCGAAATGAAAATAACACTGGCATCTCATTTGAACAGATAGACAGGGATAAATTGTCGTCGAGGAAAATAAATTCTCATTTGAACAGATATACGTCTAAATGAGGCCGAAATGAAAATAACACTGACATCTCATTTGAACAGATATACAGGGGGCGAGGGATAAATTGTCGTCTAAATGAGGCCGAAATGAAAATAACACTGGCATCTCATTTGAACAGATATACAGGAGGCGAGGGATAAATTGTCGTCTAAATGAGGCCGAAATGAAAATAACACTGGCATCTCATTTGAACAGATATACAGGGGGCGAGGGATAAATTGTCGTCTAAATGAGGCCGAAATGAAAATAACACTGGCATCTCATTTGAACAGATATACAGGGGGCGAGGGATAAATTGTCGTCTAAATGAGGCCGAAATGAAAATAACACTGGCATCTCATTTGAACAGATAGACAGGAGGCGAGGGATAAATGAGGCCGAAATGAAAATAACACGGCATCTCATTTGAAAGATATACAGATAAATTGTCACAGGAGAAAATAACAGGAACAGATAACAGGGGCGAGGGATGTGTCGTCTAAATGAAAATGAAAATAACACTGGCATCTCATTTGAACAGATATACAGGGGGCGAGGGATAAATTGTCGTCTAAATGAGGCCGAAATGAAAATAACACTGGCATCTCATTTGAACAGATATACAGGAGGGATAAATTGTCGTCTAAAATGAGGCCGAAATGAAAATAACACTGGCATCTCATTTGAACAGATATACAGGGGCGAGGGATAAATTGTCGTCTAAATGAGGCCGAAATGAAAATAACACTGGCATCTCATTTGAACAGATATACAGGGGGCGAGGGATAAATTGTCGTCTAAATGACGCCGAAATGAAAATAACACTGGCATCTCATTTGAACAGATATACAGGGATAAATTGTCGCGAGGGATAAATTAACACTGGCATCTCATTTGAACAGATATACAGGGGCGAGGGATGAGTCGCCGAATGATGCCGAAAAAATAACACTGGCATCTCATTTGAACAGATATACAGGGGGCGAGGGATAAATTGTCGTCTAAATGAGGCCGAAATGAAAATAACACTGGCATCTCATTTGAACAGATATACAGGGGGCGAGGGATAAATTGTCGTCTAAATGAGGCCGAAATGAAAATAACACTGGCATCTCATTTGAACAGATATACAGGGGGCGAGGGATAAATTGTCGTCTAAATGAGGCCGAAATGAAAATAACACTGGAACATCTCATTTGAACAGATAAAATACAGGCATCTCATTTGGCGAGGGATAAATTGTCGTCTAAATGAGGCCGAAATGAAAATAACACTGGCATCTCATTTGAACAGATATACAGGAGGCGAGGGATAAATTGTCGTCTAAATGAGGCCGAAATGAAAATAACACTGGCATCTCATTTGAACAGATATACAGGGGAGGCGAGGGATAAATTGTCGTCTAAATGAGGCCGAAATGAAAATAACACTGGCATCTCATTTGAACAGATATACAGGGGCGAGGGATAAATTGTCGTCTAAATGAGGCCGAAATGAAAATAACACTGGCATCTCATTTGAACAGATATACAGGGGCGAGGGATAAAAATTGTCTCATTTGAAACTAAATGAGGCCGAAATGAAAATAACACTGGCATCTCATTTGAACAGATATACAGGGGGCGAGGGATAAATTGTCGTCTAAATGAGGCCGAAATGAAAATAACACTGGCATCTCATTTGAACAGATATACAGGGGGCGAGGGATAAATTGTCGTCTAAATGAGGCTGAAAATAACACTGGCATCTCATTTGAACAGATATACAGGGGAGGGGGGCGAGGGATAAATTGTCGTCTAAATGAGGCCGAAATGAAAATAACACTGGCATCTCATTTGAACAGATATACAGGGGGCGAGGGATAAATTGTCGTCTAAATGAGGCCGAAATGAAAATAACAATGGCAACTCATTTGAACAGATATACAGGGGCGAGGGATAAATTGTCGTCTAAATGAGGCCGAAATGAAAATAACACTGGCATCTCATTTGAACAGATATACACAGGGGCGAGGGATAAATTGTCGTCTAAATGAGGCCGAAATGAAAATAACACTGGCATCTCATTTGAACAGATATACAGGGGGCGAGGGATAAATTGTCGTCTAAATGAGGCCGAAATAAAAAATAACACTGGCATCTCATTTGAACAGATACACAGGGGGCGAGGGATAAATTGTCGTCTAAATGAGGCCGAAATGAAAATAACACTGGCATCTCATTTGAACAGATATACAGGGGGCGAGGGATAAATTGTCGTCTAAATGAGGCCGAAATGAAAATAACACTGGCATCTCATTTGAACAGATATACAGGGGCGAGGATAAATTGTCGTCTAAATGAGGCCGAAATGAAAATAACACTGGCATCTCATTTGAACAGATATACAGGGGGCGAGGGATAAATTGTCGTCTAAATGAGGCCGAAATAAAAAATAACACTGGCATCTCATTTGAACAGATATACAGGGGGCGAGGGATAAATTGTCGTCTAAATGAGGCCGAAATGAAAATAACACTGGCTCATCTCATTTGAAATGAGATATAACACAGGCATCTCATTTGAACAGATAGGGGCGAGGATAAATTGTCGTCTAAATGAGGCCGAAATAAAAATAACACTGGCATCTCATTTGAACAGATATACAGGGGCGAGGATAAATTGTCGTCTAAATGAGGCCGAAATAAAAAATAACACTGGCATCTCATTTGAACAGATATACAGGGGCGAGGGATCGTTGTCGTCTAAATGAGGCCGAAATGAAAATAAACTGGCATCTCATTTGAACAGATATACAGGGGGCGAGGGATAAATTGTCGTCTAAATGAGGCCGAAATAAAATAACACTGGCATCTCATTTGAACAGATATAAGGGGCGAGGATAAATTGTCTAAATGAGGCCGAAATGAAAATAACACTGGCATCTCATTTGAACAGATATACAGGGGGCGAGGGATAAATTGTCGTCTAAATGAGACCGAAATGAAAATAACACTGGCATCTTATTTTTATTCGTTTTTTTTTATACAATTCTCGGTTTGAAAAATCGGAGAACAGATATACTGAGTTCGAATTCCGTCTCAGGCCGAAAATCCATTGCATTCATTTGAACAGATACGTGCTAATACCCTTGGGAAAGGTGGGAATCCTCTTCTTCATCTCCACTCCGCCAACTATTGGTAAATAACAGGACAGACCGAGTTCTATAGCCTTGGTCGAATGTAAAACTGGCATCTCATGGTCTATCGCGAAAAATAAATGGCAATCTACGTTGGAAAATATCTAATATCAGTCATGTATTTGAAAGATACACAGATCACCCTATTGTCGTCTAAAATGAGGCATGAAATGATAACACTGGCATCTCATTTGAACAGATTCTCTCACTCATTCTCTAAATCACTCACTCATTTGAACAGATACAGGCATTCATCTCATTCTATTACTCACTCAATTGTCGTCTTTTCCGAAAATGAAAATAACACTGGCATCTCATTTTTATTCATTTTAAATCTCTCTTTCTGACCATCATTTTATCTCTCTTACACTCATTCTCTACAACGTTTTTACATGCATTCTCTCTCTCTCTCTCAGTTTTATTTTGTCTAAAATGAGGCCGAATACTCTGTTTGAACTCTATCGCTCTCATTAACTTAGACCGAAATGAAAAATCACCCTGGCATCTCTCATTTATACAGCGGCTAAGCTGAGTTCGAATCTCTCCTTTACTCATGAAAATCTCTGGTATCTCACTCTCTCTTATTGTCTCACTGACACTCTCTCTCTCCCTCATTTTAATTCTCTCTCTCTCTCTCACTCTCTCATTATCTTACTCCGACAATGATTCTCTCACATATCCTCAAGACCTCTCTTATTTTCCCATCATTCTTATTTTCCCCCTCACTCTGTCTCATTACCTCAGACACGTTGACAAATATCTCCTTCATTTTCCATCATTCTCTCTCTCTCTCTATCTCTCTCTCTCTTCTCCCGTTCTTATTTTTTCTGATTCCCTCTTTCTCTTTCATTATCTTACTCACACTCATTCCCTCTTAAATCCTCAATCCTATCTCTTTCTCTCACCCTCATTATCGCCCTCAGACACGCACTCTCTCTCTCTCTCTCACCCATTATTATTCTCTCTCTCTTTCATTATCTTACTTAAACACTCTTTCTCTCTGACTTCCTCAAGATCTTTCTTTCTTTTTCACCTTTCCCACTCACTCTGTCTCTCTCATTAACTCTCCCAGACTTTCACACTCTCTTACTTCCACACGCACACTCTCTCTTTTTCCACAACTCTTATTTTTCTCATCTACTCTTTCTCTCTCATTATCTTACCCATACTCATTCTTTCTCACTTCTTCAAACCCTCTCCCTTTCCTGGACTCTTATTATCTCACACTCTCATTATCCCACTCAGATACTCACCTTCTCTCTCTCTTTCAAACTATAAAAACATCCTCTTACTGTAAAGGAATCTCTCTTCTTTTCTTTTTCTTACGAACACTATTTAGCTCGTTTGCATTTTTTCATTCAGTCGAGACAGACGATCGTCTTTTTTTTATTTTTTTATTTTCTTTCTCACAATTGATTGGTCAGCGCTGAAGCGGAAAAAAAATGGATAGAGTCTCATCATGGTTAAAGAGACATAGGACACTTACATGAACACAGGATACCCAGTTCGATTATAAAAGGAGTGTAGATTCCTTTGAAATGAGGTTCGACTGCTAAAAAAAGAAGAAAAAAAATTCTGAATGAGTTGCAAATTTCACGACCGGTAAGGACGAAATACTATAAAAAAAGTTGTTCTTTACGTAAAACTCGTACAGATATCGCAAACCGGTTGTACGCGACAGATATTCATTGTTTACACGGTCAAGTCTCACTCGCTCTCGACACTTCTCCCTCATTTTTATGATTAGAATTTCCCGAACCTTCTGTCCTTTTTTTTTACCCCTACAGAAATATATTTTCTGCATTCAATCACGGTTAAATCCCCATACGTCCAACCCCGAATGTGTAAGTATTTAAACGCAGTGGAATGTGACGCTTGGTCGAGTTTAACGTTGTTTTGAAAGCCCACGCGTTCGTAGATAGGAAACAAAAATAACTCAAGCCTCCTCGGCTCTTCCGCTTTTGGGTGTCTCCCAAGCTCTAGGTACTGACATCGTCCGAAGGAGGGTAACAGCCCCTTGAATCTAGAGTGTATAATATTAGTGGGGAATATGGTCAAACGTGCCAGAAATATGGCGGAACGTCAAAAGGACGGTTAACCCTTGACACCGCTTTTATTTTGGAAAGTAACTGAAGCCGAGATGCCAGGTCAGGACCGATAATATTGCAGGTTATTTTTTTTAATTTTATCAAGAATTTCTAAATACATAACAGAAGCACCAGACGCGATGTGGCAGCAATATTCTAAGCATGGATGAATGATAGACTTATAAATATGTAAGATAACTTCTAGCGAGAAAAATTGTCTAGCAAAAAAAAAAAAAAAAAAAAAAAAAAAAAGAAAAATCCTAGCAGTAGCTCTAGCAGTTGATTTAATATATTTGTTTTTATTTCATGTCATCGTAAAAAGTTATTATTATATAATGTTTGAGTGTACTGGTAGATATTTGGCGTGTCGGAAGTTGGTCTGTGAAAAGTTGAGCATACATCGTTAGCAAGTTAATGAATCTTATATTCTTTAAGCATGGGCTTTATCAACATTAGTGATATGAAAAGGTGCTTCTGGAATGTGGTGATGTTACGAATTTTATCTCTCGACAAAATTCAAACATATGGCTGCGAACGAGGTTCGCTTAAAAGAAGAAAAAAAAAATGAGATTTTCTACTCAAGAAGAGAGAGCGTATAGGAAACAAACACGGGATGTAAAGTTATATTTATTTTAATATAATAAAGATATAGACTGAAAGAACAAGGAAACGATAAGCAAAGAATAGAAGAAAGGAAAGAAAATATAAAACTTTCTCTAAGAAAAATGTTCAATGCTCTGTCGAATAATCTTATCGACGATTTTTGAACATTATTTCTGTTTTCTTTTCTTTTTATAAATAGTTCTTGGTAGACAAATATTGTCTTATCCTGGTTGAGTTGTTTCCCATTATATGTAGAAATATATCGTTCGATTAGTGCTATTTATTTGTTTCCTTATCGTCCTGAAAGCGATTTGATTTTCATTCATGGGGGATACAGTCCATCTTGGCTTTTGAGTTCCTGATGATCCCAGAAGTTTCTAATTTTCCCTCTCTGGAAGATCGGAAGTCAGTCTTACGCGAAAACCAGACTACGGAGAAAGAAATAAACATTTACACGTCTTCTCGGCGTAACGGCTACGATTCTTCTGACGAGTTAGTTCAGGGACACGCTTAACTTTGAATGCTATGTATGAAATCAAATCCGACTGTTGAACGCTACATATGAAATCAAATTGAACCGTTAAATTAAAAAGCGGTCTAGACCGTTTAGCTGTGACCTAATTCTGCGATTACGTGATGTTTGCGATTTCTTTGTATTATCCAAATTTGAAGTAATAGAAAGATTGAAAGATAAATTAATAAATCTCAGGTTGAGCATGTATATTTAATATCAATACCTTAAATGATTGATTTAATTACTTTTAATATAATTAAAGAGGGTCATGTTACATTGGAAGGATATTGATTAATATTCCTTCTAGATATTTTCTACGTAATATGTTATATTTGTTTTTTTATGAGGCTGGATTTTTTTTAAAATCAAAGCTGTGACTTGATTTATTTCTATGTGTTACTAAGGAGTCTAGTGGATTATCCCACACGGAAGTCTCTCGTGTTTTTAGATGCTAGTTTTTAGAGTTCTCGAAATTTCTCTTACATATTGCTATAAGAACGTCGGAAGGAGGTGGCCCTGTTACACATGAAAAAGCGTCCAAGCGTGAGTGTAAATGTAAATATTTATAAACATGCATCCGATGACAAATAGGAAACGTTTACCAATCTAACATGTCTCACGTTTATTAAAAGCTTTGTCAGAGACTGAGAAAAAGAAAAAAAATTCTTTCACTTTAGTATTGTTTGATTTTCATTGGTCAATCACGTATCGCGTGCATTCGTCTGTTTTAAATCAACGTTAGTATAATTTGCAGCGTTCCGAATTCAATGTGCAATGACGCGTCCATACAAGTTTTAAAGATTTTAATTCTTTCGAACAAGCTTGCAGCGTCTGGGCCCAAGGATTATTTTCTATCCCACAAGACACACCAAAACAGAAAATAAAATGCGTGGCCAATTTTAATAATTTGAGGCTCTCTCTCTGGATCAGCACCGCCTCGACTGCCTACTCTCTACTTCACAAATGAGTAGTGGCGCCTGAATCAACGCTGTGGCCTCTTCATCTACCGGTACTCTTCTAGATCATGAGTGCACTCGAATCGGAGTCGCCATCCATCTTGGGCCCAAATTATGTGAGCGTCACAGATGGAGATGTGGAGCTTCCATTGATGAGTTTGGTTTGCATCCTCTCTCTGGTTGTCATAGTGCCGGCCGCTTTCCAAGATATGCAGCAATAAACGAGATCATCAGAAGAGGTCTGGATGCAGTTGGGTTACCTTCCAAAATCGAATCCGTGGGCCTCGACCGATGTGATGGAATTTTACCTTTCAAAGTAGGGAAGTCGTTGATTTGGAATGCGACCTGTGCCGATACATTTTCGACCGATAAATTGATCAGGTCCGCGGTTGAGCCAGCGTCTGTCGATCGAAACGCGAGATAAAAAAAATAAAAAAAATTGGTTAAATATTCTTCACTTGCCGACAGATTTTTTTTTACTTCTGTGTCAGTGGAGACTTCTGGGTTATTGGCCCTCGTTCGATGGCGTTCCTTCTGAGAATTGTCGGGATGGCGTCTTGATTAAGGGACGAGCCTCGTGAAAAGGAGTGGCTCTTACAGCGTGTCTCACTGGCGATGGTGCGAGGTAGTGCTTTCTCCATCATTGCAGCTGGCAGAGGATAGCAAAGAAAATTGTTTTTGTTTATAGATAAATTTTCAGAGTCTGTTTATATTTCTGAGATGAGGTATTATGTACATTATTTACATTATTCGGACTATTGTCCTCATCTTTGTCGCCATGTTTATCACAACGTTTTGACCGTTGTACGCTCCGGCCTTCTTCAGGTGGTTGGAATTTCGAAATGAACCCTTTATTTCGCTCACTGGGGTAGACTGTTCTAGTTCCACGTGCCATGTTTGATGGATGTCAGTTATCAATTATCTCCTGCTAATTTCCCTCTGAAAGTTCTCCACTGCCTTAACCGGGTATTGAACTCACAGTGAATAAAGGCGTTGGTTAGATCCAGTGACAGGACCCAAAGGTCACCTGAAAAATACCGTAAACATTGCTATATGTATATAAGTTTATAAAAATTTTAGTTTATATATAAGGGCATCAGATGATAATGTATATTCGTAATTGTGAGTGTATATGTTTGTGTGTGTGTATGTGTTTGCCTAGTGGACATTATGTTAGATTTTTTTTTCGTTGTTTTGGAAACGTTTTACGTACCTTTTGCTTTAGATAAATATACGTTAGATTCTATAAGAATGGATTCAATAAAGGTTGGTAGCGTAATATAATGTTTTTGACGTGTGTTTATAGTTGATAATATTGTTATTATTAAGCTCTCTTTACTATTATTTGATTTTCATTGGTCAATCACGTATCGCGTGCATTCGACTGTTTTAAATCAAACGTTAAATCTCCCCTTAAAAAATAATGTTCTTTTCTAATTAGGGCGGCAGAAGTAAAATCAAATATATGCCCAGTTTTGTTCTAGTGTATTACGACACAGTTTGAACGCTTGCCTAAACGTAGATCTTTTCTGTGCTCGTAGATTTAGATCACGTGATGTCTCCCCTACACAAGCATTTTCGCATTGTGAATAATTTATTTGATAAATACCGGCATTTGAATTAGTGTTGAGTTTTTTTCCTGCGTAAGAATGTTGTAGAGTAGTTTCACAGTGGAGGCTTGTATTTGTACTAAGTCGGTCCTAAAATAGGTTCGACGTTAAAACGTTAGAACTTGATATAATTATTATATACCCTTGGGTAAGGTATGAATCCTCTTCTAGATTTTCCGGAATCAGTGAATGGATAGCGGCTCGGATTGAGGAATCGGAGAGCTGAGTTCGAATTCCAGTCGAATACATTACATTCACTTACGAAAGTCTAATACCTAACGAAAGGCATGAATTCAACTCTTCTGGCTTGAAGAGGCACTGTGGAGTAATGTAGTGCGGCTCGGATTGAGGAATCGGAGAGCCGAGTTCGAATTCCAGTCGAATCCATTACATTCACTTACGTGCTAATATCCTAGGGAAAGGCATGAATTCAACTCTTCTGGCCTGAAGAGGCACTGTGGAGTAATGGATTGCGGCTCGGATTGAGGAATCGGAGAGCCGAGTTCGAATTCCAGTCGAATCCATTACATTTAACAAATGAATTACCCAACAGGCATTTCAAAGAATGCTAATACCCTTCAAGATTTCTTCTAATTGATAATTTTGAGTTCGATAAATCCTCTATAAATCCTCTTCTAGATTTTCCCGGAGGAGTAATGGATAGCGGCTCGGATTAACTAATGATTAGTTAATCCGAGCCCCTATCCATATTATATTATAATAGGTAATGACGCAGAGATCTAGTTGTGTTTGCTGGTACTTTTAGTATCCGACTAACGGTCGTCCGACATCGACTGACTCACCAACTCACTGAGCGACTGCTACTGCTCCTACTTATTATAGGTGGGAGAGTCTATTAACAATAGAATAGGTGTGTTCCAGTATAACAAAGGATCAGTAAAGATTGTTGCAAGTGAAAGGAAAGGAATGCGATGAAGAATGTATATGTGTTACACAACGGGTAACAGCTCAACTGGTTAAGACAGACGTGTAGTCAAGAGTAATGTAAATGCTTTTATCTGGGTCTTAAGTTACAGCCGTTTTATGACAACCAACAGCAAAATCGAGAATTGGAAGCCTTAAAGTAGGGTGTTGGTTTCAATCCTGTCAGGAACGACTGCAAAACACTTTCCCCTCCCCATTTTATAGGCACAACCACACAAATACATGCTGGTATTTTTTTCTAGTCAAAAAATAGTTCTTCGTTTCATTTGACTCAGTCCCGGTCTGTCTTGTCTTGAAGTTACTCGTTCGTTTGCCCGAACTTGCTTTTGTGTCAACTTTTTGCCATATTACTGTTGCTTTACGTTATTACTGTTAATTTTGAATTATATATATATATATATATATATATATATATATATATATATATATATAGATTGCTTGCTTTATATTAGTTTTGCCCTGTTTGTTATTGCGAATTTTGTCAATTCTATTCGTTGAGTAGTTCTGTTTTGCATTTGGCCATGGCTACTGACTCCACATAAGAAAAAAAAATTAAAATGTACGATTGAATAAATAACATTCGGGATCAAGTGACACTCGGCCGGAAGTTAGAGATTTCTGGTCACGGGATTACCGGAAGTCGTTCGTTCAAATGGCAGACAGAGACTGACGGAACCGGACTCTTTCTCGGAACCAACAGACCTCTTTCTCACCAAGATAGTATCTCGAAACAGCCGTGTCGAACTATCAGCTTTTTCACAATTTTCTTCACAAAGTTCAAAGGCGGGAACTAGGCATATGTTCACATTTAGGAACTCTATCTTGGCTTCTGATTGGCTCGCGAGACGATGACGTTGTATCTTATTTCTATCTGGCTCGTCGGAATATGACTTCATGGTCTAGTGATTTTCTTTGTTGCGTATTTGAATTGTTGTTTATTTTTAGCAGTAGTGAAACGTGTTTGAATTTTTTGTGTTAGTCATCACGACAACACCACGCCTTTTCATTGGTTAAATTTGGTCTCTTTTCCGTCAAAGCCATTGATATGCGTCTGGTGGGTATATATATATCAACCTGGAAACTGATATCGAGTTCAAACTCAATCCTTATCTGCTGGGTTCACGGTCGTAAAAATACCCATTATGAAAGATATGAATCTTTATTTACAATCGGACCATCGTTCTTATTTTTGTTGCTGTTGTCACAACGTTTCGGCCGTTGTGCCCCCCGGCCTTCATCAGGTGTATGCCGGACATGCATGTAAATAATGTAAATAATGATAACTCATCATGCCAGAAATTCAGACAGTAGATAGGAATCTATCTATTCTTCTTCTCCCAGGTACGGGTTAAATAATATTGGCTGCCAGCTGGTCTAAGACAAGAACTAGTTTAAATTAAAAACTCAGACCTGACATTATATCTGATTGATTATAGATTAGTTAGGTAAAAAAACCATATCTAACCCTATTTTCAGAAAAGAAAAACGAATTCGATTTTGAAAGAAAGAAAAGAAAGAAAAGAAAGAAAAGAAAGAAAAGGCTTTTCACCTCATAAATAATTTTTAAAGAAAAAAAAAAAAGAAAGAAAAGAAAAGAAAGAAAAGAAAGAAAAGAACGATTAGCCAGATGCTAATAATCTAACCCTATTTTCAGAAAAGAAAAACGGTCAGATTTAAACGATTTTGAAAGAAAGAAAGAAAGAAAGAAAGAAAGAAAGAAAGGCGTCAAGAATAAGCAAATACAACGAGCACAGATAGAAAGAAAGAGAGAGAGGTAGAAGAAAAAAAGAAAGAAGAAAGAAAGAAAAATGGGACGACAACTTAAAAAATTTTTATTTTTAAGAAAGAAAAAAATGAGTTATGAAGAAGCAATTAACAAAAAATTGCGAAAAGAAAAAAAAGAAAGAAAGAAAGAAAAAAAGAAATTAGAAAAGAAAGAAAAATAAAGGAAAAAAAAAGAAAAGATTAGATGCTGAAATAAGATAGGCCGAAGGAAAGAAAGAAAGGTAAAGAAAAAAGGAAAGAAAAAAGGAAAGAAAGATGCTAAGATAACTATAAGATAAAAAAGAAAAGAAAAAAAGAAAGAAAGAATGCCGAAAAAAGAAAAAAGAAAAAGGAAAGAAAAGGAAAGATTAGGAAGAAGAAAAAAGAAAGACAAGGAGCAAAGATAGAAAAAAAGAGAAAAAAAGGAAGGAAGGAAGGAAGGAAGGAAGGAAGGAAGGAAGGAAGGAAGGTGAAAAGAAATGGAACGTGAACAAAAAAGAATGAAAAAAATGAGTTATGAAGAAGCAATTACAACGAGCAAAGAAAGAAAGAAAGAAAGAAAGAAAGAAAAGAAAAAGAAAGGGAAGTTAAAGGAAAAAAGAACAAATAAGATAACTATAAAATTGAGCAAAAAGATAGAAAGAAAAAGAGAGAGGGAAAGGAAGGAAGGAAGGAAGGAAGGAAGGAAAAAATGGAACGAACAAAAAAGAAAAAAAAATGAAAAAAAAAGAAAGAAAGTTATGAAGAAGAAATTAAAGAAGCAAATACAAAATTGCAAAAGAAAAGAAAGAAAGAAGAAGAAAGAAAAGGAAAAGGAAGGAAAATGGAACGTGAACAAAAAAAAATGAAAAAAATGAGAAGCAATTAAAACGAGCAAAGAAAGGAAAGAAAGAAAGAAAGAAAAAAGAAAAGAAGCAAATAAAAGAGAAAGAGAAAAGAGAGAGGAAGGAAGGAAGGAAGGAAGGAAGGAAGGAAGGAAGGGTGAAAAGAAATGGAACGTGAACAAAAAAGAATGAAAAAAATGAGTTATGAAGAAAATTAAAAAAGAGAAAAAAAAAAAAAAAGAAAGAAAGAAAAAGAAATAAAAGAAAGAAAGAAAGAGGAAGAAGAAAGAAAAGGAAAGAAAAAAAAGGAAGGAAAAAAAAAGTAAGCAAAAAGATCATCTTGTGTCAAGATCATAAATTAAGCGAACAAGACCTAAAATGATATGGAAACATAGAAAACGTTTGTGGGATATTCATGCAGTGCGTCTTCCCATCATAACAGCAGACCTACGAATTTTACCCAGACTCCCTTAACAGGAAGAGCAGACCGAACGAATAACGATTAAAGCCACAGGTTAGTATGGCTAGGGAGTAGAAAACAATTGGGCGGGGTCTGTGAATTTACTTGTATCTGACTTACACTCAGCGGCCAAACACAGATTAAAATTCTTGCAATATTCTTGATTAAACAGGCAGACATGATAAAACGATTTTCTCATATTTTGACCTACCGAAGAATTTCTTTTTATATATATATATATATATATATATATATATATATATATAACAGAAAATATTTATTCGTCCTTCGACAGGATTCGAACCTGTCTGTATCCTATAAGGAGCCGTCATATAGCTTGACGTACCTTACCGCTCGTCCACAAGGGGTAGTTCAGTTAGCAAGGTTGAATTTTCTGCTTATAAACCTTGCCAACCAAACGATCCTTTGTAGCTCAATCGGTTAAGGCACGTCAGGCTATATGACGGTTCCGTATAGGATAAAGGCTCGATTTCTGTCGGAGGACAAATATTTTCTATGACAATTTCTCGGACATTCAGGCCGGTAAATGTCGTTAATACTGTTTATTATAAACAGAGCATTTACTTAAATACTTGTATCTATAAAAAAAAAAGAATGTTAAACATAAAAT